ATAGCAGCATTATTCACAGTAGCGAGGACATAGAAGCAACCGAAGTGTCCTACGATAGATGATTGGATAAAGAAGTTGTGGTACATATATACAATGGACTCTTACTCAGCCATAAGAAGTGATGAAATACTGCCATTTGCAACAACATGGATGGATCTCGAGATAATCATGCTAAGCGAAATAAGCCAGACAGAAAAAGTTGAAAATCACACGATATTACTTATATGTGGTACATAAACCTAAAAGCAACAAATGAGCAGGACAAACAAACAGAAACTCATGGACATGGACTATAGACTAGTAGTTAACAGAGGGTAGGTGGTGATGGAGGAGAACGGAGGTAGATGGGGTAAAGGGAGTCAAATATAGGGAGTTTTGGGGAGGGTGAAGTGGGTAAAGGGGATCAAATACATGGTAGCTGAAGGAAACTGGACTTTGGGTGGTAAACACACAATAGAATGTACAGATGTTAAATTATAATGTACACCTGAAAATTATGTAATTGTATTAATCAATGTTACCCAATAAATGTAATAGAAACCTTATATTTTAGAGTATAAGCCTGTTTCATAAATGGGAGTTAGTAAGGGGCATCTGGATTTTTCATGTATGTTTTAAATCCTGGGTCTTGCTTTTCCCTGCAGGGAACCCAAGTTTGGTCAACATTTTCCTGTAGAAATACTTTTTGGAAAAAGTATAATTTATGACCTAAAGTATATTAAATTTTTGAAAGAAAGTGAAGTTTACTCATAAACTGGTAAATTCTTCTGTGCTGTGCACATTAATAACATCATTCTTTAAATGTTATGCACATCTGTATGCATCTCTTTGAGCTTCTCCAAGTTGGTATGGATAACCAAGAGTATATTTGGCTGTTAACCCATTTTGACATCAAGTTCTGAGAGTAGCCAGGGGTTAAGAGCTAAAAACTTGGTTTTCATCCACTGACCAGCTATATGAGCTTGACTACATTATTTGTCCTCTCTGTGTTTACATTTTACTCCTCTGAAAAATGTCAATGATATTTACCGGCACATTTTCCTGATTATTAGCAGAATTAAGTAAAATAAGATATATGGAAGTTCTTGAAAGATTACAAATGCATGCAAATGTATAAAGCATTGCTGCAATTTCACTGCAGAGGACCTCTGCTCATATTGAGCCTAAATGTGCTCCTTGTCCTCAGGATGTGAGGGGAGGACAGAAAGAAGTACAAACTTCATTCTTGCAAACTCATCAGTTGGCCTCCTCAAACTTGCACAGCTCTAATTGTGCCTAATGAAAGAAAGGTAATATTTTAGGTCTCTGTTGCAGAAAACATTTTAAATAGAACTGGCCTGGAGGCATTTTTCAAAACAAAATCTAAATAATGGAAGATTGTTAGTGGGAACTGTGACAGGGCTAGATTACACAATTAATAAAGATCAACCTGAGTCTCAGACTGACAGGCAGCCTTGACTATACCTTCCCCAGGTCAGTGACAGAGACAGCAGGACTCATAGTAGGCCTTGTCTCCGACTTCCAGAGAATTTGGTCATTATCAAGGACTTCATATTAGGGCTTCTTCATAGGTTAACAAATAATTTGTCAGCAAGTGACCAGAGCAAGAGCAAGTTCATGCAGGTCCCTGGCCTAAGCTTGTCTGTTGATAAAGATTAGAGAAGACTGAAACCCAACCTTTTCCCTCCTTCAACCCATCAACCATCCCCAGAGTGGTTTCCCTGTTCTTATCCCCATCCCAAATTAATGAAGGTGCTGATGGCATGGCCTACAGAGTTTAAACTTTGAAGTGGTTGGGGAAGAAACACATAGGAATATCTCTTGTCTTTTGTCCCTGGAAACCCTGCCTGAAAGTCTGGGCTTTATTATAGAAGCCATTCGTCTAAGAAACACCTGGAAGTCTTAGTGAAATTCTTACTAACAATTTGACTTCCAAAGTTCTAGCATTTGCCTAGTAGCATTTGCCTACTCATAGTACCCAGAAGTTCTTTCCTGTTTTAGCTGCTTTCATGTGATTCACATCTTTATGTGTCTAGGTCAGTATATCTCTTTGATCATTTAAGACCTTCATGGTCCTCTGGTACTAGGCCTGTTGCCCAACTGACCTCTTACAGACACTTTCCTATCAAGTAGCTGTCTTAACTCAGTGGCATATCTTAATTAATTGGTGCTAGTATATCATTTTTATTATATTGATTATTGTTCATAATTATATAACACATACGATTTATGATTATTTTTTGTTAAAATATGCATAACAACTAATCCTTGCAGTAATAACGATTCTAACTACAATTTAGTAAATACTATGTATCAGATGCTGTATTATACACATTATTTTTATAGTTACAAAGACCTGAAGAGGTCAGGTATTGTAATCATTCCAACTGAAAATGATAAACCTATTTTTGCTCATGGTTGTATAATTAAAGGAACATCTTCCTTCAACTTCCAATGGAACTACCAAAAAGGACTTCTTATCTCCATTTTTCACCTGAGGAAACTGAGTCTGAGAGATGTTACATAACTTACGCATTGAACTCAGTGGATCTTAGTTCAGATCTGGTGCTTTGTTAAGAAACCACTGCATTATATTGATCACTTATTTAGTCTACTTTGTTTTCTACCAAGAGTTAAATACATATGGGATAGTGAGCTCCTTTTAGGGCATTGAGTGTTCTACTTCAATCGCTGAGATGACTGGTCAACAGCTCTCTTTAGCTGGGGTTATAACATAATAATGGGTAGATATTTCACAAGTCTCTTTCACCTATATGGATGAACACCATGGAGCAGATATGATCAATGTCTTTCACATTAAGAACTGTTCAGAACACTGCACACCTAGCAGAGGTGATTCTCTTTTTTCTCTCTTCAATATATTTAAAAGGCTGTATATTTATGTTACCTCAATCCTCTGTACCCACCTTAGCCCTATTTGTCTCCCACATGTAGTCAGTATATTCTTTTCTTTACTAGTATGCTGATGCACAAAGACTTGGCTAATCCTTATCCTTGAGGTACCAAAATACCTGCAAAATTATTCTAAGTCATATTTAAAAAAGGAATGCGATATTTCACCAGCCATATACCTGAATCTGTAGAATGGGGAGAGATGTCAGTACTATATGGGGTTGAGGCAAAAGTAGAGCAGAGAGGACATGTCTCTTGAATACATACCTTTTGATGTCCACTCATTTATTAACTAACATTTACTGAATTTGAGTACCTATTATCTATTCATTTAGATCTCAGGGATAGAATGATGAACAAGAGCAACAAATTCTTTTCTTACATTTACCAAATAAAGAAATGATAAAAGATCAGAGAGAAGAGCAGATATAAAAAGTTCATGGATTGAATAGGCTTAAAGTATTCAAGGAACAGAGAAAATGCCATTGTGACTGCACCCTAATGAGTAAAGGACACAGCATTATGATAGGCCAGATCATGCAGGGCCTTAGAGGAAGTAAGAAGACATGAAAATGTTTATTACTGAAGTAAAGTGGGGTCAAGAAGAGCCAAATTGATTAAACTAAACTTTACCTTCTTGCCTGAGACTTAAAAAAAAAAAATGTTGGTGCCTTTAGCTTTATGGCTTTTAAAGAGGTTGTCAAACATACAAGAGAATGAAATATTTTTACATTTAATCCTCAGTAGGCATATCTTATGCCTTTTGGGTTTTAGGATCCTACATTGAGGAAGAGAGAAAAGCAATAGCTCATGATCTACACTATATAATGGGGTTGCATCTGAACATCAGAATGCGAGTACTTTGATAGCATCCTTCTCAGATGACATAGGCATGGGCATAGTCAGAAGTACTTGCCAGTAATTAACTTTACTAGAAAGCCAGTATCAGTCATTTTGATTATATTAGTTTACAAACCCAGTGGGCAACAGCAATCTGTACTTCTGTGTTTTGTATATCTAGCATCTTGAGAAATTTCAATGAGTACTAAGTAGTATGACTACTAACAATGCTTTGAGGCAATCTTAAAATTGTTGGTTAGTATGCTAATCTCATCTGTCAGGATTGCTATCACTTGATTACAAAAACACTTGGTTTTAAAGTATTCTTGGCACTTTATATTTTTAACAGCAGCTATCTGTTGGTTTTTAGACAGATATGGGTCTGAAATGTCCTTCCAAAAGATTTCTAGCTGACCCTCTTCTAAGCCTTACCAGGTTGCTTCTGATCTCTTCCTCACACTTTTTCAGTTTTCTTCTGTGTGGCTGACATCTTCAGGAGTTCAGGTAAAGTTCAGGTAGGGGAAGTTCATGGGGTTTACATAGAAAAATGAAGGCAATATTGTATTCCATAAATACCCTATATAATGAGTTAGCCAGTTAATGGCCAATTTCTAAAGTGACCTTATGGTAAAATTCAGTGTTGAAACTCCTTTATAGTGCTAGTGTTGGTGGATTAATCCTGACTGACTACACTCTACTAGGATTTCTTCTTTGTAAGAACCCAGAATTTGACCTCTGACGTATCTCAGTGAATACCTTAAAAAGTTATATAAGTTAACAGGTATCTTTTGTATGTTGGCTTTTGGTATATACCTTGTATAAGAAAATGTTGGCTTAGAAACCAATGGCAAGATTAAACAACTTTGGAATACCTGGCAATGGACTGGCCATAGGGGCAGAACAGAAATAGCTATACCTCTAGTTATAGACTTTCTCACCAGTTTTCACTATCAGACTTTCAACATACAAATATTTATCACTGGGAAAGAAGTCTAACCACCTTATAGTTCAGAAGATGGGCATAGTTGTTCTATGTAGCTATCTCATGATCAGAAATGTCCACATTAGCATTTTGTTTCATATCTTCCTGTCAACTGAAGTAGAAAACTATTCTGTGTTGTTTTCATGTTGTTTCTGATTTCTAGGCAAGGTCCTAAATGGAAAAGTCAATACTTTTGAAATATGTAGAGTACATACAAGTTGTAAATACCTGATAAAGCCATTTTGCTATTTCTCTGTTCCTACAGAAACTCAACATATTGCATGAAGGTTTCAATGTCCTTGACTGTTGCAGAGAATGAATCAGGCCTGTGCTACAATAGCAGGATCCGCTATTTAGAAAAATCTGAAGTCACTAAAAGAAAAGAGATCTCCTGCCCAGATATGGATGACTTTAAAAAGTCTGATCGGGAGCCTGATGTTGTGTGGTATAAGGTAACTCAGCATGGTGTTAAATGATTTTTTTTTTTTTACCTTTAGTCAATAGTTGGTGTGGGGATAGGAAAAGGGAGAGGTTTTATTTCTCGTTTTTGGTATTAGATATTTCACTAAGAATCACCAGATCCACAGCTACATAATTCAGAGCTATGACTCCTATATATCACTGGTTTTCATGCACTTCTATCAGCAGGTGTTAGAAGCAATCCCACCTTCTCCAACTGCTAAAAATAAGTAAAATCTTCCTCCTCTCCAACTCATTAGGGCAAATGGAAAGAAGAGTGAAGATTTAAGAAAGAAACTATTTGAAGAATATAGAAATGTTATTTACTAGTAGGAAAAAAAGGCCCATCATTTCAAGTAATAGTACTTACAAATAGTACTTACAAATAGTACACTGTTATGGTCTACATTGTAAGAACCTCTGCAGTCAAGGCAGAGGAGAGAAATGGGTCCAGTGTAGGATGTGTGAATACCAGAAATAACATGTTTAGCTAGAAATGAACCACATTCAAAGGTTGAACATAAAGTTTAAGCAACTATTTACAGAGGTGTGGTTAAGGTTCAGAAACTCAACAAGGGAAGAAGCTGTAAATTACCACTTGTAGGCCTACAGTGGCAAGGGGAAGTAGCAGTGTCACTGGAACCCAACAAGAGCAGTGCATGCCTGTCAAGAGCTGTGGCCTTAGTGGAACATATGAACTGTGGCAGAGAGAGTGGAAAAGATAAATACCCTAATCCTTCTTAACTCTTGCCTTCTGATTTCCCACTAGTACTTCCCTATCTCCCACATGTAGACTCAAACAGAAGTCAGAGGACAAAACCAAGAGATAGAATCAATAGTCTTCAGCTTCCCTGAGTGTAGCATAGGGCAGAGAAGGGCAGAGAATGGACCTAGGGGAGGAGGTAGAGAAATAACTACACAACCTTTCAGCTATGATATTCTGGCTGCTAGCCTGGGGCACTGTGGTACTATAACGGGACTGAGTACCCTCTGTCAGTCTGAGCCACAGTGGTTGAGACATGGTAGAGTTTTAAATGTGTTGGCCAGAGATGACCAAGGAGGTTTTCTGCACAGGTGCTGTGCACACAGTTGAAACCAAACACACACTAAAGATGGAACAAGTTGTTTCTACAAGATCTGACAGAATTTCAGTTCCCAGGGAGGCCTAAACTCTAACTCCTATGACTGCCATATGGTTTTACATTTGGAAGCCTCTCCATCTTCACACCTGGAGAACTCACCAATAGACACCAAGAGCATGTCCTAAACTAGGACCTCAAGTCTCTATGCAAAGTATCCTCTCCCCTTTTCTTTCCTTAAAGAAGACAATATTCTAATAGATAAAAAGGAACATGATATCCATTACACATAAATATAGAATATTCATAATTTGGTGGGACTCTTCATGCTATCATCAGCCTTGTTAGTGTTTATTAAGCATTTGTTATGTGCCATTCACTGTGCTAAGCTTGGTCACTACATTATCTCATTTAAATCTCAGTGCAACTCTGTGTGGTGGGCACAGTTACCCTCATTTAATACAGGGGAAAAAAATCGAGGCCTAGAGGGATGTAGAAATTTGTTGTTAGTTACTCAGCTAACAAAGCCTGGTTTTGTATTTAAGCAGTGACTCCAGAGTCCCTTTTCTTGCTCACTACTCTCTCCTGAAATGGGCCTTGATCACAGCACTTCTCTAAGATGCAGCACTGGTGCTGAGGAGCCCACCACAATACAGAGTAAGATGGTTTTATTTCAATTTTATAGTTGAAGAAGGGCGGTTGACCAGCTCAAAAATTAGCAGCTAGGAGTAAAACCCAGGTCATCAGCATTTTCTAACAATATTCATTCTACTACCTCATCTTTTTATCTTTCTACTAAATTTTTTCTTCCCCTTTCTTCATATTTGTAGACATCACTATTGTCATTGTTTACCAAGGCAATTTATTCACTGGGCAATGCTGACCCTCCATCTCTCTTAGAAATGGACTGACAATGGTGATGCCTGGATTATACCATTTAATATTTCTACAACATTTTACAATTAATAAATAATCATAATAAAAGCTAAAATTTATTGAGTATTTACTATAAGCCCAGCTCTGTTTTAAGTACTTTTGATGGATTAACTCAATCTCAAGAACTACTATATGAGGTAGGTATTATTATTATCTCCATTTTATAGAAGAAGTGACTAGAGACTCAGAGAAATTAAGTGACTAACAAAAGTCACACAGCAGTTTTTGACTTGTCATTTGGCTACTGGGCTCATCCTCTTAGCCACTAGACTATATCAATGGATCAGGATGAAAAACTAGAACCCAAAGTTAAAGAGTCCCTGAACCTCCCAGATGTGTTGTTAACTCTGTTTCTCATACAAGGTTTCAAGTAAATCTTTGATAAAAAAAAAAAGGAAGAAGAAGAAGAAAGAAGAAGAGAAAAGAAGAAGATAACTTACACCATAAGTTACACATAAATCAACTTGATCTTGATTAATGACTTAAATGTAAGATCCAAAATCATAAAACTCCTAGAATATAGGAGAAAAGTCTTCTTGATATTTATCTTGGCAATAATTTCTTGGATATGACACCAAAAGCATAGGCAACAAAAACCAAAATAGATAAGTGGGACTCATCAAATAAAAAGCTTCTGGATAGCAACAACAC